TCAATCAATCAATCAATCAAGATCTTGATTGATTGGTCGATTGATTGATTGATTGATTGATTTTCTCTCTCTCTCTCTCTCACACACACACACACACACACACGCATATAGGAAAAGGATGGAACGAGGGACAGGGGAGATTGACTGAGCAACCCGGGAGCGGCCGCAGGAAAAAGGAAGAAGGGTCGACGCCCTCCCTTTGGACCCTGGTCCAATTTTTTCTGTGGGTTTCTGATTGGGTCTTTTTTGCTAGCTTCGTTCTTTTCTTGTTCTCCGTGTTTTCCTTTTCCGCTCTGTCTTTTGTCTGCCCTCTCTGCCCCCCTTCTTTTCCTCCCCCTTTTTTTCTCTGTTTTCTTTTTTCTCTGTTTTTTTCCCCTTTTTTTTTTTTCTTCTCCTTTTTCTGTTTTTCTTTTTTTGGTTTCTTCGGAAGTAAGAAAAAACGAGCGAACATCACTGGCCAAGCACCTACGCGCTGCCACTGATCTTCCCGCGTATCAAGTGGGATACCAGGGGAATCAGGCGGACTGCCCGATAACTCCTCGACCAGAGTATCCCTTATGGTTAGTAATGAAGAACGAGCTGAGGCTCGAACTCTGGCCTATGCACTAGAACCACAGAGAGATAGATTAGAACGCATGTAGTTGTACCTTTGCCCTTTTTCCTTTGTTTTTGTGTTGTCACAGACTCGATCCGTCACCAATTCCGAGAAGTTTGCGAAGGCGCAAGCGTCTACCCTGGACAGACTAAGGAGCTGTCACCACTTGGGTAATCGAGGACGCTCGGAAGTTGACGATCCCGGTTCCGGATCCTACAGGCGCACGCGGCGTGAAAGCCGAGGTACCATGGGGGAATGAATGGCGTGAAGGTTCTTGAGGAGAACAAGGAAGATTCGAACACAGGTCCTGAATATTGGAGACGAGGTGGGTTCGAGGAGGATATCGATGTGCGGGCTTTAGTCATGCGGCTAACTGCACGACAAGGCGGGGGGACTCGAATTCAATGGGTATCATTCACGGGAATGGCGAAGGTTTTGGCATCAGGACGGCGCTTTCGCACGATAGTCTTGAAGGCACAAGGGACAAGGCCCAGTACGACTCAGGTCTCATGAAGTGACATGGCGGGCTATTCTTCTGGTTTAAATGGGCGAGGGGCACTGACATAACTCATCAATCATTGCACAGGAGTGATTGAGGGCGAGGATTTCGGTGGACTTGTTCGATCAAAGGAGCGGACGTTTTACATCCAGCACGCGGTGAGTTTTGGTTGGAATGGACTTCCTCGTGGATCTGGACCTCTTGGAGGAGCTGGCCGACGATGAAGAAGTGGTATAGCACCGACCTGGTTCCGTCTCCATGCGTCCGGACCTTGTTTCGCAGCAACAGCTCGCAGCCAGCATGGCGGACCTCAATGAGAATCGAGGGGCGTATGCGGTGTCCACCTGTGCTTTCCTTGCGTACCTTGCCCTGCTCGCATGCATAGCGCTCCTCTGTTTCATCGCGTCCCTCCCACCGCCTATCCCACCCACCGACCAGCCGCCACACGCGAACGAAGGCCTTGCACGTGGAATCGTGGGCATCACCTCCGCGACCGCAGCTGCATTGTCATCTTGCACGCAAGAGCCCTCTCCAGTCACGCACCACTCTCCCCTGCGTCCCCCGTTGGAGCCGCCACTAGATACGGATGCACGCTATCCATCGCAAGTCCCCCCCACTGGTAGGCAGACGGTGGATACCCCATCACGCGGTGCAGTGCATGCAGCTTTAGACGCAATCGTCCTCATCCTAGCTATGCTACAGAATGCCATCATCTGCGACATGGCGGTATGGGCTTGTCAATCAGAGCTAGTGCTGTTAGCGCCAGCAAGGCGGGCCGCGACGCTGATGTACCTCACGATTGGATACGCTTCGCTAGCGCTGGCACTATCGGCAGGCGGGATAATCGCGGTATATTGGAGCTCGTGACCGGAACTGCGCGCAGAACAGTCGAGATGAGCGGCGATTCACTCGCACCCCCCATCCCCCACCCCCACCCCCTGACCCCTCTACTCCACTCCCATAACATCACGCAACCCTTCCTCGAATCCTTTCTTGCATATTGCACCCGCGTCTTCCCCCCCTGCTGCGCGATCATCGAGTGTACGTCTTGTCTTTCTCATGTTGTCCCCTTTTCAGACGACGAAGGAAAAGGTTCTCCCTCTGATGAAGCTGCGTGTGGCAGGCGGCAGAAAGGCCATAGGGAATGTGCCACTCCCTCCTGCGGATGTGCTGATTAGTCCGCCTCGCCTAAGAGCGGTATCAGGGCTAAGAGGCATGGTATAGGATCTTCTTCTTCTTCTTCTTCTTCTTCTGGTGTCTTGTCCAATTCCTTTTGCCTAGTGATCTGCGGAGCATTGTCACCACGAGGAGAGCGCGCTGTCATATCAACGTCATGTCGCAAGAAGTTCTTCGTCGAGCTTAGTGGGCAGGGGGTTTGTTGACTCGTAGTGGGCCGATCGGCATCTTGTGAATTTTTTTTGCAATAATGGACCTGGTGTGATGTGTTCCGACTCTGTTACTTGCATCGGATGATGATTGTTGTCCAAGCTTTTCTCACTTTTTTCGCTGAGTTAGTTTGTCATTGTTTTCATTCGTTTACCAAAGCTTGGTATTTTTCTCGATCTTTTACTTGCAGTAGGGAGCAGTTGCCTTGTCATATCTGTTACGACCACCTCTCTGTGAGAAGAATTGATGAATGAATCGTACAGTTCGGTTTAAAAGTGTTTTCAATTTTTTCATGGATGTTATGTTTTTACCAAACTGGGTATTGTTTCCGGGGAAGCAGCTGCCTTGTCACGTCTAATACGACCACCTTTCTGTGAGGAGAACTGGTCAATGAATCTTAGAGTTCGGTTTAACCTTTTTTCCTACCTTAGGAATAACTGATGAATGTTGTACGACACACTCGAATGTGAGCGACGGGTATAAGCGCGGTTACTAACACTAGGGAATGAATATTCCCTCATGCATGATTGCAGTGGTTCTTCCTGGCGTATCTCCGAATGCATAAGGGGGATCTGCAATAATAAGATCGGGATATGGAAAGAAGGTGGGGTTGCCCCAGGGTTTTTCTTGTCTTCCTTCTTCTTCCTCCCTCCTTGTTAGCTTGCGTCCACCTTCCTGCAGTAGTGATAACTGATAACTTAGTCCTGTACAATACACCAGAATGTAGGCGATGGATATAGGCACAGGGGAGCAAATGGTTTTTCCCTTATGCATGAAGAAATGATTCATTTCGACTTGACACCGAACGCGTGATAAGGGGATTTGTATTATGAGGAGGGTGGGCTGGGTGTAATAGTGGGACAATACGAAGTATGATCAGGTGAATCCGTGGGAGGAGCGTCGGTTTATCCGGGCGGATTATACGGTGCGAGGGTAGCCAATTGCAAGGTGTCCGAAACAGGTTATACGTGCGACCTTCGTAACAAGCCGACCTGAGAGAAACCTTCATAATAAAATCTAAAAGAAAGAAAAAACACGATTTTTTTTGTTTTTCGCGGAATAGAAGTGCCAACGAGAATTTGGTACATCGTATCACTGCACTAACCACATCCAAGGGGTGGTCGGGACTGCACTCGCAATGGTGAGAAACGGCGCGCACCGCGAACTGTTCGCATACTGCAAAAGAGGGCGGGTTAACTGAATCGAGATCTATGGGAGGGAAGGACGTTTTTTTGTCCTGTTTCCTTTTTTCGTTTTCTTCCCAGAGTTGGGACTAAATGTGCACAGATTAATGGAGAAAGAACAGGGTTCGTCGGCATACGATGGGAAACGGAAAGCGCCATGAGTCTTCCTCCTCCTCATTAATTTTTCTGCGATAGGCTGGTCATGAACGATGACAGGTAGGACAAATGTCGCATCCTCTGGTGACAAATGATGTAGTGATCACACTGAGGCCATCCGGGAGCACTTGCTAAAGCCTGTCATATCCGCTAATTAAGACAGACCCGTGGGTAACGATTCGCACGCTGAACTATGAGTAGGACCCCTCCTTTCCACGATCAGAAGCGGAAGCCATACTTGCGATGATCCCCAAGCTAAAGGATGTGCCGATCTAAGAATCGGAGAATTAGCCGGGTACATTGTACTGCCCTGGCGTGCATATGGTGCACACACTCAAAACACACACACACACACACACACACACACACTCTCTCTCTCTCTCTCAACTCTTTTCCTCTCCTCTCGCTCACCCATTTCCCCCCATCTCGCCTCCGGCCTCCATGCCCCCCATCCCACTTCTCTCGCCATCCTGCCTTCCGCCTCCACCCTCCCTCGCGTCCCGCCTCCCGCACCTGCCACCGCTCGTCACCGCATCCCGCCTCCGCCTCCGCCTCCGCCTCCCCCCCCCCCCCCCCCCCCCCCCCCCCCCCCCCCCCCCCCCCCCCCCCCCC